ACACAGTATATTAAAATAAACCAAAATAAGTAGCTGAGTGATTAAACTAAATGTTTTGTTTTTGTTTTGTAAAAGCTTTTAGTCATGGTTTTAGGCTAATATATTCACTATCYGGGTCAAATATGACTGAGTGAGTTTTTGAATTGTCTAAAGCTTCACACTGTGGGTGTGTCTCTTTGTTGTCTTTGTTGAGTTCTGAGCTTTGACCCTGACTTTACAACCCCTGATACCATCGCCAGCACTTGTTTTTCTCATACGTCCCACTGACCCGGATCATAGCTCATTTGGGTGAGAGTCAAATTAGGGAACTTTATATATATTTATTTATTTATTTATTTATTTATTTATTTATTTATTTAAGCATGTAAAGTGTAGTAGACTCAGTTTGCATCTCTATTGTAATGGGCTCCGCTCTGTGTTTGTGTGTGCATCCTGTCCAACTGTCAGCCACGATGCTGCACTACCTGTTTTCAGTTTCTAAAGTAAATGAAACTGGATCTACCTGACGTGTGAAACGAGGGGTGGGGGTGGGGGCTGCAGGGACGGTTAAACTGAACCTGAAGCCGGTCGAGGCAAACACAGAYGGGAGCGTGAGCTGACGTGTGCAAACAGAAGAAATAAAGCAGGCAAACAGTCAGACAAAACTCCTGAAACCTAATTAATACCTCTGATCTGCAGAAACACACCACGCCGCATCTAATCCGCACAAATAAAGGATTTGGAGCAGAGTTTAGGATTATAATTTGTAATAGATTTGTCTTTACTATCAATGCAGTTCAGAATAAAAAGTAGTTTTTTATGTCTTAAAAGAAATGATCACATGTATACAAGACATAAACATCTCACAGTAAAGCAGCAAAGAGTCACTAAAGCATGAAATATCAACACTTTGAGCTGTAAAGGTTCAGTTTACCTGTTGGAAAAACACAAAAGATGAAGATGTCAGGTGATCCTCTGTTGATCTTTCTGGGCCCGGCTCACTCTCTTTCCACTTGAGGATGCATTTTCTGCAGAGCCAAAGTCAGAAATCCCAGCTGGGAGTTTAAATTCTGCCTCTGCTCAGGGTGAGATCCTCCTTCCTGCTTTGATACTCTGCTGGAGTCCAGCGCGGGTCTGAAAAGTGTGTGTGAGGGAGAGTGGGTGTGTGTTCTGAGTGTTTAATTGTGTGTGTGTGTGAGGGAGAGTGGGTGTGTGTTGTGAGGGTTAGGTGAAAGTCAGAGTTTCCTCTGCGTCCGTTGCCACCTGCCCTGATCTGTCAGCTCTCCTTTTTTAGCACTTTAAACTCTCGGCCTTGAGGTGGTGTSTAGAGGAAGAGGAGGGGGGGAGGAAGAAAACTTAGCAGTAACGGCAGAAATACACATTCCTCCTGTTGCTACTTGCTTCTTATYAGTTCTTATCAGCTCCCTCACAAACACCTGTCATATAAAGTTACGCCACACTTTAAGCACCAAGTGAAAACAAATCTAACAAACAAGAATAAAAAGTTGAGACATTGTTGTAAATTCAAACCAAATGTGAGGCTTAGTTAATCTCATAAGCCCGTTTTTTTAAAGTAAACAAATCAAATATTAATTAAGGTAAATTTGAATTTTATTGCGGTTTTCTCCTTTGTAGTTCCAAAATCTGATGGTGCCTCTCCAGATGTGTAAGCTGCGCATGCCAGAGGCATAATGCACCCCCATACCATCAGAGAGGCAGGCTTTTGAACCGTACCACCTACTTTTACCACCTACTGTTGCCTGTCTCAAGTAAAAGTGTACATTACCCTTTGTTTTGTTTGTTTTTAAAGTAGAGATAAATGACTCSTTAAAGCAGGGCTATTCAACTGGCGGCCCACGGGCCGCATCTGGCCCGCRAGTGACCAAAGTTTGGCCCGCCAATTGGTTCATTCATCTCTTGAGCCCAAACCTCCGGTTTTCAACTTTAATTACGTTATTTTAGTTAAACATAGACATGTTTGGTATCTACAGAAATGTCAGAATTTTGGCTACAAGCTCGTAAAAACCATTTCTATGAACGTCCAAGACAATTAAACTACAACTAGTTGAAGATAAAACTACGAAAGTGAAAAATGGTTTAGAAATTTGGAAAGTCAAAGATGTCAAAAAAATATTTGTGTTAAATAGGAGGCATAATRTGTTATTTTTGTTTTAATATTGTTTTATTACATAGGGTTCTGTTTGTTGTAAACATGATTAAATGCAGCAAAATTAACTAAATCAAAAGTAAGAGATCTTTGTGATACTTTACTTTATTYACACAATGACTTTAATCGCTGGATGTTTGGCCCCTCAGCTGTTGAATAGCCCTGCCTTAAAGGGATCCGGATCTTGATGAGCCGTTTGTTTTATAGAGCCGTTCCAATTTGAACAAGTTACGTCATCACATCACATGTTTTATCAAATGGAAATCCCTCCCCCTTCCCCCCTGAGCTGCTTTACTCCACCTCTCTGCCTTTTTTCCTTAAAAATGCAAATAAAGATACTACGACGAGAACAAAACATAAAACTACAAATGACTCTTTTCGGTCTGCAACTCGGTTCCYATTGTTCGYTGTAAAGAGTCGCTCAAAAGAATCGAATCATTCGCRAAAGTCACGTTTCTGTTTTAAAGCTACGTTTGTTTTKGTTTTAACARCTTGTATGTTTACTGTGTTCCRCTGTGAATAAAAATWTGGGTTTATGAGATTTGCAAGTCATTGTTGCTTTTATTTACATTTCAAACAACATCCCAAAATCTTCAGAATTAGAGTTGAAAACTCGTCAAACTAAAGGTGCGTGCATTTAATTGGGATAACTGAAAGCTTTGTTTGCTGCTCCTTTTCTTTCTTTTTTATTTTCCTCACAGAATAACCAAAATCCAGTCTCCTCTGCGGCTCTAAACAGAAGACACTCATCTTTTGCACGAGTCGTTTMGTTCAAAGATGTGAAATTCATGCAAAGGATTCATTTCCATGCAGTCGGTKATAAGGTAACCTTCTTCCCTCTGGAGCTCCACTCGCTCCTTTCCKCTGTCAGGTTTCAGTTTTACTCGTCAACATTACACTGCAGTGTGTTTTAATCCAAAGAGGCCATGCTTGTTTACTTCAAATAAACTCATAACTCTTTCCTTTATAAGAAAAGAAATAAAGAAAGACGGAGAAAGAAAATCGAGAAAGAAAAGTTTGCCTTTAGAGAGCGAGAGCACCATGAATCTGARAAGAACTTCAAAATGTCAGAGAAAAAAATTAGCATTTCAAAGACATTTCTGAAATATTTAATTCAGGAGAAAGAAACTGGCACCATAATGAGACTCCTGTTAATTAAGATTAATTGACGGCCATGTGTTTGAGGGTTTTTATTTGGACGCACATTTTATTTTATGATAATGACTAATAGCTGTGGGCCATTAGGAGTAGAATGTCTCTGCGGTAACAGCTGCCTAACTGACTCGGTTATTTAGTAACCCAAACACAAACACTGCCGTATCGCATCAGCAAAGTCATTTATTGGGCGTTGGGCTGTGGAGCACTCATAAGGAAGCACGGAGAAAAGGATCAAAAGAGCTGCTTCCCCGTCCCTCCCGGATTGCACAAATTTGAGATTAATAATGAACTTGTCTGAGATTGGGTGTGAGAAATGAGCGAGCGGTAATTTTACTGTATCTGCTGGGTTTAGTGGTGACGGAGGAACACATGAGCCGAGACTCCCTGTGTCTGAGTGGCTCATAAAATGACMCAATGTTGACCGCCGGCCCGCTCCAACTGAACAGCAAAGATGTTGGTTTTAAGGGCAAAATGTGTGAGTTCAAGAGGAAAATACACATTGTTGCATTTGTTAGAGGATTTATATATTATACTAGAGAATTTGCATTTTCTGTGAAAATACAGTGTGAATGCTGAATACTGCTTATTGCTGAAAGCTGCTGAAGAAGCTGAGGCCACGGTAATAAAGTTTAATAAGAAAACACTGGACTTTTGTAAGACAAAATTAAAAATCAGTAGTTCAAAAATTTAACAATTTCTTGTAAAATAGCTGAAGCAGCTAAAATTAGTAGAAAAATAATGAAAAAACTGCTGAAAAAGCTGTTATTAGCACAAATATGCAGTGTTTACTGAATTAAGCAGTAAGAAGCAGAAAGTATCAGTTAATTTAGAAGAAAAAAGCTGAAATTAAATGAAAATAGCTGAGCTGCTAAAAAGGCATAAAACAGCTAAAATAATAAAAGATGCATGAATTGCTTAAATCGGCTGGAATTAAAAGGATCAGAGAAATTACTGAAAAAGCAGAAATAAGTTAAAAGCAGCAAAAAAGCTAAGGTAAGCAGAAATTAGCACAAAGATGCAGTGTTTGCTGAATTAAGCAGCAAGAAGCTAAAATTATCACAAAAAGTTAATTTAGCTGAAAAAAGCTAAAATAAGCTTAAAACAGCTAAGAAATTGCTAAAAAGGCAGAAAACAGCTAAATTAAGCAGAAAGCCACCGAAAGATGCATGAAAAGTTTTTTTTGGCTGAAAGTAGAACAGCTGAAATGG